AAGACCAAGCTGGTGACAGCTAGAACATTTACACATGGTCGACTATTCACTCATATCTGTGGTCATCTTTCTCGTCCTAGACTAGACAATTCAACGCTAGTCGCGGTCCTCGGATTATCCTTTCCTAAAATAAACATAGGCTTCCTTCAGACACGATTGTGCTCAGCAGTCAGGTCTATTATACTTGCAGGTTGGTTTATGAAGATGGAATAAACCTAGGATCAACTTCAAAGGAATGTTTTATGGGGGGAAAATTACGTAAAGTGTACGCAGTGGTCATTGTATTTAACCATGCGACGTTGCTACAATCCTTTAAATTATGCCACGCTTCCGGGTAAATACAATGGCACTTATATGATCAAATATCACTTGTTAAATAGGACGGCCAGATTGAACGTTCTTGCAATTTATTTTGTTCACTGTGCGACCACAAATTGGATGGAGCAACTTCTAATCACCAAAAGTGAAACCTCAGGCCTCTGTTAGGTCATCATTGTAATAAAGAAATATTTCTGGAATAAAGTCATCGGTGTTTAATAATAATTCCTCCAACTCAGCATCCTCATCGGGTATTCCGTTTTCAGCAAGGGTCTTTTCCATATCGAGCACTTGTCCTTTGAACTTCCAGGTATAGGAAGCTGCGTGGCGGTTGCATTTCAGATACCGAGACATTATTTCGAGTACTGTTTCCTCATTACAGACCTCGATGAAAATAAAACAACGCATATTTAATAAATTGAAACTTAAATGATACATCTTTAGCAGAACTTTCACCTACGGTACCTTTGTATTCATCACAACCGAATGTCCAGTTAGTAATATTGGAGATTGGGAGCCGTTTTACATAAGCCCACCATTTTCTGGTTTTCCTCAGATTTCATGTTGAGTGCCCGGTCAGCGACTAAAAACTTTGAACAGAACTAGTAATAGCTCTGTCCGAAGTTCTTATTAACAAACCGGGCACTGAAAATGTAATCTGATGAAATCCTCTACATCTGTGATGCTCCTATTAGCGCGATTAAATAAAATCATCTATGATTTTACCAGCTGCATCTTTTAAAATGCAAAAACGGAATTTTTTATCCAATTTCCACAATAAGCAATGTAACCAAATGCCCAAACATTGCGCACTTTCATGGAAAGGCATCCATCTTTGACTTTCCATGAAATTACATTTCTTGGGATGCCTGCCTTTCGGTTTATACGAAATTGCGCACTTTGTTATACATCATAGTTCCCATGACACTAATTCTTTGAGAACATTTCCGTAAAATATAGGGTCAAATATTTTTATCAATAGGATTTATGCACGTCTAAAAATCGAGTTTACTCATAAAACATGAATATTCACATTTTCAACAGTTCCGATGTTTTTTTTAGAAAACTGTCATGTCTAAACAACATAATATTAGCAGACATTTACAATAACATACGGAAGGGTAGAATAACAAGGAGAGGGTGGAGAGGTTTGAGGGTATTCAGAGAGCATAGGGTCAGATTCTAGTCCTATGAAGGTGTGAGGGAAGGAGGATGGTTTTCGACAATTGGTGCATGTCTCTGCGTCGTCACTGTAACCCCTTGATAGGACTAGAATCTGACTCCTTGATCTCTGAACATCCTCAAACCTCTCTCCTTTCTTAATGTTAACTGGATGTTTACATTTTTGTCACTCCAACCTCCTGTATACTATTGTAAATGCCTAATTATGAATACTTGAAAACATACGTTCCCCAAACTTGACTTCCTAAATGTTTACGCGGGTATCATCGCTGAACGTAACATAAATTGTTCTATTTTTTCTGTTTTCCTTAGGCATCTTCTCGTCCATTCAACTTTTTGATTTCCTAGGTGCATGCAAACTGGTCTCCAACTGAGTGGAGATATGTCGTTGATTTAGGAATATTTTGAGCATTACGCCCCATATTGTATTTGTCAGTATCTCCTAAGTAGTATTTTTGGACTGCTATCTTTTCTAGGTGCCAAAACGATTAAGAATAGTCTACGTTTGCTTTAAAGTGTGTAGCTTTTAGTTTAGTAAGCAACAAGTGGTAGAAAAATGTAATGCAAACGTTGTTAACTCCCTCTGACTCAAATTTGGGTATTTGATTGAATGCTCCCCAGCCACTTTTTGTTCAAATGTTACGCAGGCATTCGAAATGAATTCTTCGTCTACCATATTTTACAATCCAAATCGAACAGTCAATTATAGGAAAAACCTGATGTCTGAAAATTGGAAATTCCCGATTGTGATTTGGAATTCTAATTATTGCAAAGGACGCGGCTCTTTCAAAACCTTCGAGAAGCCCAGCATGGAATCCGCGGAGTCCTTTTTCGTGAGGAAATCAACCACTAATAACTACGATTGAAATCAGTGATCCCATCCTTGATGACGGCAGAAACTTAGGGACTTCATTGTAATATAAAAATAAAATAAGACTGCGGGTAGCCACATATTCCTTTTGTGTACAATTTTATTAAGTGCCTAATACCCAGTAGGTTGATTCGGATTGAAAGTTTTATTCAAGTCGGTTTTGGACAATATTGATTTCTACCAACAGCGGCTTGGGGTGGCAAACGTTAAATGAAATAGTATTGCAGATATATACTAAGGTGGTATCTCATACGAGGATTAAAATATGCATATGCAATGCGGAACAAGGTTTCGGGCATTTTTTATTGGTCGCACTAGGCGCTCTTGAAACTCGATATCCACTCTAAAAGTTAGAGGCGATTCTAACAATAGGCTTGTGTCGGCCTGTCAGTTATTTAACTCCCTAAAAGCTAATTTAATACGCAGCAAGGAATTTTGAGAAAGCTGACATACCTCGATCTCATGCTCCACCAAGGCCAACGTGTTAACGATCCTAACGATTCGCGGTTTCTTTGTCAACTTGCCAATACAGTAGGACTTTTCAAACCACCAGGGCGTTCCAAAATCATTACGCCAATCTGTAGTCGGGTAAGGTGGTGGAACATGAATAAATCGTCCCGAGGGTGTGTATGGCATTCGACATTTGCTGACGGGGTCGATGTAAGTTTTAAGATCACCAGTTTTTGGATCAAACCAATGAGAAATATCAGTCCCAGCAACGGCCAAAATGGGCTTGAGTAGAATGTCACCTGAATTATGCAAAACCACATAACTGCAGGGCAAAATAATATCAAAATGTTACCACCCGATCCCAAAAACAATTTGAATGCTTCTTACGTGAGAAATATAACCACTGAAATTTGGAGAAAAATCACTCTGAAAACTCATCCTATTGACCAAAATACCTATAAAGGTTCGCTGCCGGAAAAAGACAGTTTAAGCTTCTGAATACTAAAAATTATCTGTAAAAACTTATGGGAAGAAAAAATGGGGTTGCCCTTGTTAGGAGGGACCTAATGGCTAGCATACAGGCAGCAAGCAGCCACGCTCACAGTAGGCTATCGATCGGCCTACACGCGAGCGAACGCATCATGTCAGACAATCAATCAATAATTTAAATTTCAAGCTACATTCAGTCACTGAGCCACCAGCCAATCGTGCCGGCGCCTACGCCAAAAGAGAAGCTTATTGGCTCGATGGACATCGTGTTACACGCGTCTGTTGTGCTTAGCATGTTGTACCTATAACACTCAAAGATTTCTGATGTCCTTTTCTTGTCGTGTTCTTTGTTGGAGGACTCACGCAAGGCGTAATTGGGCGGAGACACTTCGCCTTTTGCAACCGTTACAACAGCCTTTATTATTTTTCTCCTGACAGTATACTTATTTCAGTTTAAAATATACAACAACATTCGATTATGCGAAACGGTAAATGTGGTACCACACTATCGGGTCTTTTTCTGTGTCATAGGATTGGTGCTTATCGATCATGGGCATAAGTGGTTTTACAGATTCCGGTCGAATTTTGGCGACATCAAGGGGAATGAAAACCCTATCTGACCCATTATCCAGCCGAAAAACTGGTCCCCAAGATGAATTACTAGCCAAGACAAATCTTAGGAAGTATTAATCTATAATAGGAACCATCGCAAAAGTCGGAACACCGGCGATACTCCTCAAATGGCAGATATCTCGAGCTTTTAATCTATGAAAAGGTTCCAATTGTGGCATTTAGGAAGACTATACACAAAAGAACGACCGTGGGAAAATGGTTTTGACAGTGCTCATAATAAAACTCTATTTGACGGATGGAGGGTGGTTTTATGCTGTTCAAGTGAGATGCCTGTAAATATGCCTGTTACCGGAGCGGATCCAAAATATATTTTTCCAAAAACACGCCCTCAGCATTTTAGTTTAATAAATCTCCCGCATTGACGGCGAAACTCGTGCGTTAGTGCAATGCTTTTGGGGCCTTGGGTAAAACATTCTGTTAAAAGACAAGGCTGTAATAAAATCATGTGTATGCTCGAGCCTTAGTGAGCACTAAGGCGTATAAATTGGTCCTCATATTTATAAGAAAGCTCGACTATGAATGATAGAGTTAACTGCAGTTAAATCTATCATTCATAAGCAATAATAATTATTACAGATTTGTCTTTTTAATAGTGACCTTGACCGCGTTTGGTTCAAATTTTGAGACAACGTGGAAGATTTCTATAAATCGATCTATTTA